GGTGACGGATGGCCTAAGTGTCTCGGTTCAGCGCACACATAACGAATAACTAAGAATCTGGAACATAAACGGACGTAGATTAGGAGGGGCATAGTGCGTAAAATTGTGTGACTGAAAGTTGTGGCAAGCTTTTTTTGACACTATCCCGCTACCACAGAATGATAACAGGGCTCGTTTGCAGCGCACAGTTAATGATATGGCACAAAATCTGTGTGTGTACCCGCAGTTGGACTAAGGAGCAAAGTACGAAAAATTATGAAAAACTTATTTGAAAAAAGCGTTCTTATTTTCCAAATGGGCAACTATCAACATAATGCCCCTTGAAGTGGGCAAAACTTGAATTTCACCCGAGTTTTACAAAATGTTTGCATAAATCTATACACCTTAAGTAGCATATAATAACATTTTAGTTCCAGAAGCCCTCCCCTCCTCCTTGTTAGGATCCGAAGCAACGACGCCAGTCTTTTCAAGGAAAAAAGCGCTCCAATCCAACAGCCTACGCATTTGGCGAAATCAAGTTGGGTGATCGTAATGTAGTGAAGGCAGATTCGTTTCGTCGGTGTCCATTTCTCACCTTTGTGCTGGGCCCTGCTGAAAGCCTTAGCAGTTTACATATAATTTAAATAAATATGAAGATGAAAAAAAATAATAACTCCTGTTTTGCAAAAAATTTTTTTACAGTTCCAATGCTTATAAACTACTAGCTGGCTTACCCGGCTCCGCCGTATGTTCCGAATAGAAAATTCCATTTCTTAACCGATCCGGACCAAACTTGGCACACATACCCTTCGGGAACCGGCTGGTCTCCCGCCGGGTCCCGAAGTGTATGTGTGCCAAGTTTGGTCCCGATCGGTTCAGAAATGGAATTTTCTATTCGGAACATACGTACACACAGACATACAGACAGACATACAGACAGACAGACAAACAGACATTCAGCTTTATATATAAGATCAGACCCATGCGAACGTTACATACTTTTGCTGTACATTTATTGTTAGAATAGAAAGGAGAATTTTGATTTGTTAGATTACTCCCACATTCAATATCATCATTTGATACCAGTGTCTGTAGCGTAACATGTGAATGACGCAAGCTTTCATGCGAATCAATTCAACATGAGAAGCACCATTGTTGCAAATATCCTTTGACTTATTACACCGCTCATATGTGCCTCTGAATACGTCAATCTTCCTTTGACTGTTTAATGCTAGAAGATTTATAGTCAGTTTAATCCTCGCTTCCGAATTAGGTGGCCATCGCTATCTATCGGATTAAGTTTAAGTTCAAATTTGCAAAAGTTTGTCGCTAGAAGTAATTGTCGCGATGGTCACAATTTGCAGTGCAAGAAATGATTCACCTTAAGATTTTGTTTGGATTTGCTCAAACATTACATGGAGCTCGATTGTCTCTTACTCTTCAAAGGTTGAGGTAATAAAGGCTACTGCATGACGAAGGCGCAATAGCAGTATTAATTGAGCGGGCGCGAACGCGTCGCGCGCATATCCTCACCGTTGTAAACTCTGCGCCTCCTGCGCTCTGCGGCTAATAAAGCCGCATTCGCGCGCAAAGGTATTGCACCTTCGTCATACAGCAGCCTATAGAAGAATATGACGCGATCTCGCTGCGTTGTGGTAAGGTAAATAGATGCGTATTCGAACATCGTTCCATCTTATATATAAAGCTGAATGTCTGTTTGTCTGTCTGTCTGTCTGTATGTCTGTATGTCTGTACGTATGTTCCGAATAGAAAATTCCATTTCTGAACCGATCCGGACCAAACTTTGCACACATACACTTCGGGACCGGGCGGGTGTCATAGGCTACTTTTCGTCATCGATCGATATCGATTTTATCGATTTTTTGCAAAATTTGAGCTACGGGGCTGGGAGTTGGCACAGGGGGGTAATCAAGCATGCTGATTACGAATAAAATAATGACAGGGCCGGGCGGAGCCGGGTAAGCCAGCTAGTTTATGATAAAATCAAAAGCAGAGTACTTTGGCTTCAATCGACTTCGTCCCTTATCTGCAAAGCATCCATTGAATAATGTAAGACTTGTGTCTGAGATTCCTTACGATAATCAGTTGCATAGATCGATGGAGTCCGTCACTAGAAATCTTGGATTCTAAAACTCGACTGTCCTCATTGATAAACGCGGCTAGACTTGCGATTGCACAATATCATAGTATTACAGGGGCAACAGTGAGATAAGAATTTTGAGAATTAACAAATGCTGAATGATATTCGGAGATTGATGTGTTTGTGGTGCATTTCCTAACTCATTAATTTTACAACATATTTCAGTATTTCAGCCTATCTTTGAAGCGCTAGTCTTGTGGTTCACTGGAGTTCAACTAAACTCCCACAGTTGTTTATTAGTTAGCAGATGTGAAGCCATAATTTGGTAGGCGATAGGGCAGGATGCAGAAAAAGCTTGCCGCTCTTCTTTACGGAACTAACTGCAGAAATAGACTTTTTGCCATTTTTTCCACTATCATTGAATTGGTAACCTATGCACAATTAATTCTAAATCAAGTGAGTTTTGAGCGAAGTAGATCGCGTGATATTTAGGTCAGTCTGCATATTTAGGTCAGTCTTCGCTCACTCTCCTCTCAGTCCAAAAATTCTGGCCGCATCCAAATAAAAAGTTTAAAGGATGCACAAAAATGTTTTGCGAACATCGAACAACATCTCTAAAGCCCTGGCCATACCGACGAAAAAACCACCGCGATGCGATTTGTGCAATGGACAACTGCCATACCCCCTATTTCATGCCTGCAAATCATGCCTATCGGTCGTGCTAGTTGTCCGGCGAGACGGATCGCAGACCGTGTTTTCCTAGGCCATACCTACTCCAGCGGCATCGTCGCGATTTGGTCGAAATCTTGCGATATTGCGTCGCAATTTTGGAAACAGCGACGGGGCGATATCGCTGAAACTGAGTTTCTTCCCTGCTTGTTTTTTGAAACAGTTCTTTTTTTCGACGTTTCTTGGCGAAGATGTCAAATTGTCCTAACTCGCACCTCTTTCGCACTGTGATGCTCTCGTGCTTCTAATTCGTGCCATCAGTTGAAGTAAATCTGTGTTTGTTCGAAATTTCTAACTAACAAGGGAACCGTGTCAAGTCGAAGTGGCCTTTCCAGATGAGACCCATACTGCTTTGAAGAGCATCAATCAGTGATTCCAAATCTGCTTTTCAAATCTGCCAGGCGCCTCTGGACGCCGAGTTATGCTCGTTTTTCAGGTCAAAAAATTGAACGCAGAACTGAAGCAAATTAGCTCAAATGGTCCAGTGTCAAGTATCAGAGCTGTTTATGCGATGGATAGAATTTATTTAATATGCTAATACTTAATATTGCTTTATCTGAGCGCTGGAAAGATTGTAGCAATCAATTTTACTTAAATTCTGCATTCATTTTTCGTTCCGAAGAACGGTCATAACCCGGCGTCCAGAGGCGCTTGGCAAATTTGGAAGGCAGATTTGGAATCATCGCTTAATACTCTTCAAAGCAGTATGGGTCTCATCTAGAAAGGCCACTTCGACTCGACACGGTTTCCTTGTAAGTAATACTGTAGCCCGCTTCCTTTTACACTTTTGATTCAACTGTGCGCAGATTAAGCATGTTTTTATTGGTGTTGAAGTCGTCTACGAATACATACAATTATATCAGGTGAGAGTCTGTTGAGCTATGTTAGAGAGTTTTTCAAACCTTATGGCATACTGATTTACCTTCGAAGTCAATCTCCTCGATGTTTCATTTGGCATAATTTTCAAAGTGAAAACATGTTTCTTTGACTCGTTTCTTCGATGATTCTGCAAGCACCGGGATGCTCTGCGCGCCGGTATCATCGAGCTCTTAGCCATTCCAACAGTTAGTAGATTCAAACAGTGTATTATTGACATTGGAGTGTGGTTACGCGTCGATTTCACAATAATTCAAAGGCAGGAGGCAGATCCATCAAATCAATAAACCAAGGTAAATGTGAATACTGCACAGAGGTTTACGTAAAATGTAACCTTGTGCAATTGCACCCAATCGCTGGACGGCATAGCCAGGACTCGCGATGAGCGATTTCATAGTCGCGACTTCATCGCTACAATCACGAAATTCTTCGGCGATGAAATCGCGACGATGAAACTGCTGTACGTATGGCCAGGGCTTAAGATGCTGATTCTCTTGCATCATTTCATCTACAATTGATTCAACTGGCTGAGCTTCGGCAAAGGCGGGCTTCGTGACCTAATTAAGGCTAGGTAATGATCAGAGAGCACTCGCGCGCGAGAGACGCAGGTGCGTCGCGGGCGCGAGCGGCCTGCCCTGACGGAGCTAAACCAGTTGAATCAAAGATATTTCACGCAAAATTATGACGAGAGTTTGTTTCGAAACGGATTCCACCAATTTACTGCTGAGCTTTGTAAACTCTTGTTAACTCTTCTCCGCAATGCTTGCACTCCCGATTATCTCAAGCAGTCACAGATTGCAAGGCCTTGGCTCCTCCTGCTTCCCCGCTGATTCGCGGTCCACAACGTTTCAGAGATTGCTACGCTATATACCCGTAAGATTTAACTGAGTCAAAATCTCTTTAGCCCGTTGATTGTTGATCAGGATGCCACGGAGCTACACGTGATCTGAAGCGGAGTGCGAGAATAACACTTAAAAAATGTAAGCGACATGCATGCAAGTGCATCATCAAAATCTGGAGTTGTTGTTATACAATCAACCGCCAATGAATATGCGATATTTTGGATCTCACCGCATTTCGTCACAAGAACGAAAGCGAAAAGCTTCATTTTGACGTAGATCGTAGCTATAAGCCTTGAATAGCAATAAATGTTATTGTGGTGGAGATGTTCTAGCGGTACAAATGCAACACAGTTCAAAGCAGCCTCAAATGAAATGGACCTAAATTTGCAGTAGCCTGACTTTCACGTAGTGGATAGAGAAAGTGCACGCCTCCGTTCTCGTTATAAAGAAGCTGTCCATTGCCATTGTTCAAAATGATGTTCATGCGTGGTCTGTTTCTGATAGTAAGCTCCTTGATAAGTTTAGCTTCTTAATCTTCACAAAAGTAGTTGCAGTCCTTATCAAATGTGTACTGCAAGAGAGTAGTAACTCCAATTTACGATGAGTTTCCGTGGCTACTCGAACTTGTGAAAGAAGTGACGAATAGAACTCATAAGGTTAGTTTAATGGGCGATTTGTTATCGTAGAGGAACACGTAAAAACTGCAGACTTGGTCTCGATTACCGCAAAAATTGGGTAATGCTCGAAGGTATTTTGAGCATTGGGCATAGAAGCTTGAGAAACTTTAAGAGAGAGATTCAAATTTGAGGATTTGTATTGTTGTTTCATATGTATCTTAAGTCGTTTCGAAAGTTCGTAGTTTCAACCTTGTCCTCATTCTATCAAGGAGCGGTTGACTTGCGGCAAAATGCGTAAATCCTTGGAAAGAGCTTAAGTTGTTCTCTGCAATGAACCTATCAACTGAAAGCTGACCTACTTCGATTTTTCAGCTTCCAAATATGGAATTTTTAACAGACAAAAAGGCATTTTTGACATCTATCATTTCTTCTTTGAAAAAAGTAGCTTTTCTGCATAGATTTGTAGCCGATTGCGACTGCCGATTCCCTAATGTGTCTATCTTTATTTTGAAAAATTTTAGAATAGGTCAAAAAACGGCACGAACTTTCTGACCCACCTAATAAAAATACCTCCTCATAATTAAATCACATGTGTAAAATTGCCTCCACAAAGAGTTAGAATTTCTCGGAATAACAAATTTATTTTGTTCTTCTGGTGAGGTCTCGAGAATGAACTGGATAGAACTCACCAATGGAATGAATAGAACTCGCCACAAAAAAGGGCCAGCACAAACTTTCACCAGAACATACCGGCTATAAAACTCGTTGTATATTTCATATAAGATATCTGATTTATAGCAATGAAACACAAAGAAATCAAAAATAGGGTTGCCACATATTTTTTCTTTTATCGACAACTTTATCTGCTGAAAAGTACTCAAACGCTGTTGCAAAAGAATGATTTCCTCTGTTATATGAACATCCCTAGCAAATTCATTGATCAAAGTGAAGATTTCTTGGCAGGAGATTTTTTTCAAATTTATATTTCAAGGCTTGAGCTAACTTTTTAGTATACCCCACAATTGGTGGATGAGGCCGTTATGTATTTACGATCCCACCCGAATTTAGAACATGAAATCAAAGCTGAAATACTTCTGACTGCTAAATACGAGTGCGTTCTGTTTTTGATGATCATGATAGCAAATAATAATTGTCTTCAGCGAACCATACAACCCGGCAGAGGCTCTCGAAGAAGCTGTCAGTCTTTGGAAATCTAATGCACAGAATTGGACGGTGAGTTCCTGATTCATATCATAAAAGAGAATAAGTTTGAAATATTTTACGCTGTGATCTACGCAAAATTATACAGGGTTTCTCAAAAGAAGTACATACTTTCCAATAGGAATAACTCTCTTCCCAAAGTCTTTTGCTTAACTTTAAGCACTGTTTAACAGAAACAAGCTTCAGCGAATTTACGTATAGAGTAAATCACCCAGCTCTCTTCAGTACAGTAGTGTTACAGTAGGAACTCTGAAAGGGGTTTTAAGCAATTGATGGCTAGATTTTGCCTCGGAATGGATAGAGAACAAGCTGAAAACTTTATCATTACACTAGATGAGTCGCTGATTGTGAATATGAAATTTGCACTTTAATGTAACACTTTCCCATAAGTTATGCCAGGTAAACCGTTTTACCGTTTTGTTAGTGTTTTAAAAAAATGCGACAAAAACCGCTCGAAACGCAACCTGTTAAAAGTCGTTTGATAAATCAGCACGTTTGAAAACACTGTCACACAACTTTCAAGGATGGTTTGGAACTTTTTTCTCAAAGTGCCTATTTTGTAGTGGCACTGTATGCCAAAAGTCCCTACAGTAGTATAAGTAATGAAGAGCGATGTGTAATTTGCTCTATACTGTGAACTAAGCTGAAAACTGCTCTACTGATTGGTACCGAAAGCTAAGCAAAAGACTTTATGGGAAGTGAACTAGTAGCGATCAAAAAAGTTTACTTTTGATACACCCTGTATACTGATGTTCGTCGCTTTTTTAAGCACTTCACAGCACCGCTGAACCGGCTCTTCTTTCTTTTTCTTCATCCAATGAAATTCGACCATCGCGAAGGTGATAGCATTGTAAAGGCTGCAGACATTGACCCGGACGTACTCACACGATTTTGATCTATCTGGTAATGCTCGAGTTGTTTGTGATTCAACGTAAACGCATTTTGGATTCATTCAGTCAACGTTAGCGATAGCAAAAGTTACACACACTATGCATTTGTATTCGCAAGCATCTAAAGACATCTGAAAAGTTGCCAGGTCGTCCAAGAGGCATGAAGATAGAAAGAGAGAGTACGAAAAACAATGCTACAAGTGAAGGTTGGACAAGTAATCCGTTCATAAGAAGTCGCAATCCGCCTCTACATGAAGCTGAGAGACACTCGTATTTTAACGAAACTTTCTTCGCTTTTAAATAACTCCAAGAACAGTGACTGATTATAGTCTTTGCCTGCCCTCGATAGTGCATCTTCTCCTCTTTCGGTATCTACAGTCGAGTAGATTATCCGCTTAATATGATGTGCTTGCACAAAAGATGAAATGCAGTGGAATTTGCGCGTGAATAAATAGCCACGCAAGTATTGCCGGTATTTTGTGCGCGCAATTGACCGGCATGGCAGTCAAAGGTATCGTCCCCTCCACAGTTGCTGCTACCCTCGGTCTGCGTCTCAGACCTGCCACGTGTGGCTAATATGTTGGCAACGTGGCAACAACATGTTCGCGACATGCCACAACATGTTGGCAGAACATTTTGGCCACGCCAACATGTCTGCATATTGCAGACATGTTGTTGCCACTTTGCCAACATGTTAGCCACACGTGGCAGGTGTGAGACGCAGCCAAGGGTAGCAGCAACTGTGGAGGGGACGATATTTGTTCACGCGAAAATCTCACCGCATCTCACCTTCTGTGCAAGCACACATATCAAGCGGGATACTCGACTGTACACTTCTTCTGTAAAGCCCCGGGCCGTGGGCATACATCACCATTTTAGTCGCGTAGCTATCTGAAAATTAGCCAGATGTCTTCAAATGCAAGTGTATCATAGTGTGTATAACTTTCGCAGATTGTTGAAACATCTTCTATATTAAGATGCTTTACGATGGATTATAAACAACTGATTTATGCCGCATCGCGTCGCCACTAAAATTGCCTGAACAATGTCTGGGACCTATCAAAAAGCTTCACGCTTTGAACTGCCACGACTCCCCTACACAATTTTGAAGCTGATGATAAAATGCACCAGTACCTCAAGTTTCTTTTGCCGCAAGGGCGACAAACAGTTTTGCTGGACGGATGCATCGATTCAGCCATGTTATTAGAAGTAAACTTTCGTGGGTGTGGTTGATTCCACTCTTTGTTCAGCAACTGCTTGTCACCCTTGCGGCGAAAAAAATTTATGATACAGGCACTGGTGTATTTTACGTTTTTAGCTAGGCGCTTCTGGTTAGCAAAATTTACTCCGTTTATAGAAGACGTCGCAAAACTTACAACACTAATTATTTCTGATTCTGTTGCGAAAGTCAAATTTTTGGAGATCAAACATTTTAACAATTTGCTTGATCTAATTTCACGCTGTTATATGTCTCTGCAGTAATCGAGTTGCATAGAGCGGTTAACGTGTCTTTATGGGCATGATCAAAAAGCACTAAACTCCGTTAAAGGCAGTGGCTCGGCAAATCTCAACCTAGTCAAATTTTTGCTTACCTGGGGTTATCCAACACGCTGATCCCGAAAATCCACTTCTGCGAGCTTGAAAACGGCAAAAACGAGCGTTTTTCAATGCCCTTTCCTTCGGAATTGGACGAGTGGAGCAAGGCTGATGGTGCTGGATCGTTGCGGGACCCAATGGTTAGAGCATTGCGGCGGGCAGCCTCCAACGGTGAGGAGGAAATTACCAACTCGACCGGGAGCGTGTAAGATTGGCCTACGCGTGTAGGTTTGAGAGCCAATTTCTCGGCAGGGAAGGCATGCTGTGCAACCAGGATCGCACTATTTTCATACTTGGGCGATAATGAACCTATCGTGTTGAAATCCTGAGTCGTTGACTGCCTAAAAGCTAGGAAGCTAGTAAGGGAACGATCCCAACTAAAAGGCAGCGTCCCACCAAATTGGGGGGTACCTGGCTCTAGTAATGTAAAAGTAGATCCTCCCCTTAAGAAAGCGAAGACAGAAGTTTGTAGAGCGAAAGGGGTCTACAAAATCTATAAATCGCCCCCAAGCCCCGAATGGCCCGGATCTTACAGTAGCCTCGGGCGAGTACGAGATGCATGCAGGGTAGAGTCGCAGACTCGTTGCGACACCCTGCCAGGTAGTAGGGCCTACCTCATGACTGTGTGCGCCATGCGTGCTCTGGCCTTGCAGTTCGAAATTGCTGTGTGTGCGGCGTCCGGGCCTACCGTAATATCCGGACCACTTCCGGATCAAATTTAGGCTTGGTAGACCCCTTTTCGCTCCGAACTTCAATCATCGCTCAAGTAGGGGGTCTACTGTAACATCGCCAAAAAAACCGGCACCCATCCTTTTGCCGGAACGTTTCTTTAAGGTGGCGAATTGGAATGGACCGCATATCATGCGTCTTTACGAGCTCATTCCAATTCTGCCTTCCATATCTGCGATGCCGTTCCCTTCAAAAAGTTGTGATCGGTAAAAATTGTGAAGTCATTGGGGTTTCAATGCATAATGTGCTTCAAAATACAACTTGGGAGTGCATGGCTAGCATGATATTGAGCGTACTAATTTCAAGAAAGGCTCATATTCAACATGAAACACAATTAAGTGCTTTTGAACAACTAAAAAACAACTAAAGTACTACTTTGGTAGAAGCTATGAGCAATGAAAAGCCCAAATATGGCAAATTTACAGCGCCATAATTCGAGAACTAGTTGATCAAAACACTTGTGTGTGTTTCGCTAAATGTGAATATTCGTTGAAATCAGCGCACTCAATATTATGCTAATCATGCAGTTTCAAGTTAAATTTCAAAGCACAATATACATTGAAAACTAAAGGACTTCACACATTTGACCGCTCATAACTTTTTGCAGAGAACATCGCAGATATAGAAGACAGATTTAGAACGGGGCCCGGCACAGATCGTCTGGGAGCAGGCTGGACTTCGTTTTTAGAGCAAAAAGCAAAGGAGACATCGTTTTTGACGAATCGTTGCCGAACATCAAGATTAAGCGCTATTTAGTCGAATACAAGCTTTTTGGACAGGTTACCACACGATTGACATGCTCAATCGTGTATGGCGAAAAGTGCGCGCGATTTGAAAGTAAGGCTAAAATAAACAAATTGCTTGTTTACAGCGCACACAGAATCGTTTGACACCAAAATTGAACTGTGAGCATAGAAAATTATTTGAGGAGGAATTATGTAAAAAGTATTGGAAACTTATGTGAAGGAATACCTTTTCCAAATTCAGATCGTCTCCAGACGGCCACCAGACGATCTGAGATCGTCTGGAGCATATATTTCTGTCACTTCACATAAGTTTCGAATTTTTCTATCATGGACGGATTCCCCGGTCAAAAGTCTATACCTGAGCATGAAGACGTTTTCATAGCATTGCCTTTCCTTTGTTTTTGCCTTAATTTCTTCATGAATTACTTTGTTAAACATCGCGCTCCAATGCCAAACTCTTGCGCATGTAGTATTCAGCTCCAATCTGGATTTTCACACTTATTTCATGTTTTTTCTTTCAGATTAGTAAACCTTTCTAGTTTTCATCTCCTTCTAAGGTCAAAGAGGACTTCGTAAATTTTCTAAAAGTTAGGGTAGACTTCGTTTTCAGAAACCCCAGAAACCGACTCGTGTTGGGCCCTGATTTAGAATCAGCTCATCAAAACGCATCTAATTATGCGGCTCATTCCAGTTGCCACCTTAAGTTAGGATCGTTCCCTTGTAAGAATTTCATAGTGAAAACGAACTTTTGGATTAATCTCTAATAGCAAACGCAAAGGTCCTTCACTGCATCACAAAATGCTGAAAAGTGGGAGTATAACACTCCTCAGTAAGTTGCTTCCAAATTTTAGATTACCTCTAGATTATCTAAAATGAAATCACCCTTCTGGGGGCGCTTTTTGGAGGCATACCAAACTAGTTTTTGCAGAAATTCATAAATAAAACTTAGTTACAGTTATTGAGCATATATTTCGCATAAACGCAATTTTGTTGCAACCACTAAAAAATTTCTAGTTGAGATCCCTTAAAGGCAGTGTCCCGGCAAATTCGCGTCCTGTGGAGTAGGAGTACAGCTGTGATGGGGTTCCTGGTTCACCCCACTAACCTTCAGTTCCAGTCTGGCTGGCGATGTCACCCCTGCGCCAAGAAAATAGCCCTCGAACCGGGCACGCGCTCGGACGGCTTTGCTCTTTACCTGTTCGGCGTGGAACCTTACAACCGCTCCCGCATTGTGCATGCTATCCAAAGAATTACAGGCGGCAGGGTTACCGTGTTAGGGTTCCCCAACTTTCCACTGAAACTATCGTCTGAGCTCCCTTTCGGAAATTGAATAAACGCCCCAGAAACGGTATTTTCACCTGGTTCAAAGCTTACATTCGGGTTCTACGTGACGAAGAGGCTTCAAACATACAGGAAGTGGAATTGCAAAACTTGCGGGGACAGTGCCTTCAGGCGCAGCTCTGGAAATCATTAGTTTGCATTTATACAGAGTGTCCCAAAATAATGTGCACACTGTTTAATTTTGAATAACTCTCTTATTATGAGGTCTTTTGAGAAGCGGTAAGCATCATTTTGTTGAGCTGTCTTCAACTTAGAATTGCAGTATAGAGCGAATCACCGACCGCTCTTCATTACTGTAGGATTACGGTAAAAACTTGAAAGAGGGTTTTGGGCGACGAAAGGCTATATTTTGCCTCAGAAAAGAAACAAAACAGTCAAAAAACTTTTACACAAGGCCAATTACAATTGCTAATTGTAACTGTAACGTTCCCAACTTATTATGATGCTTCACTGAAGAGTTATGCGAGGTAAGCAGCAGCGGCCATTTTCTCAATGTTCCTAAAAAGTGCGGTTACACCGTTTAGAAAGCTTCGCAATCTTGAGAATAGTTGAGTATTGAACTCAGCGACCCTAAAGACCCTATCACACAAGTTTTCACATCTTTTTGAAAATTTTTGAAATAGCAGCTTTTTCCATAGTGACACCATATGTTCCAAGTTTCTACCGTAATCCTACAGAAAATCCAAAAAAATAAGCGCAACTCTGCAATGTAGTAATGTTTTTACTCTGTCTGTAACACTTTAGGATACTACTGCAGATAGTCTCTGCAGAGGTTTATTAAACTGTCTCCATTATCGCGACATCCATCCGCTCTCCGTTATTCGTCCAAGTTACCCTTCTCTTACTCTTCAAGTCACATGTTTGCTGGTGACAGATGACAATCTTCTCGCATTGTAAATTCCAAAAATAAATACCAACATCCTATTGAACATGGGATTGAAGTATATTACTTGTGCATGCTTAAAACGCATAGTGTGCTCTCAACCACTGAGAGATTTCTTGAAACTTCATTTGGATCTACAACCGCTATCAAGAAAAGGTGGAAAAATTACAGGTCATGAACGCCACGACCGATGTTGGGTGCGCACGTCGTGATAATGAGCAAACACATATGCTATCGAAGCATCCACAGTTACTGGAAGTACAAGAGTCACATGATGATGATCAGGGGCTTCTAGCGTGCTATTTCTCGTTCTAAGAAAAGTTTCTTTATAATTTTAGACTCTTTGATTCAGCATTTCAATAGGGAAGCTAATTGTATCTGCTATAGAATGCATCATTCAACAATCACTGGATATAAATAACGTAAGCTGCTCATATAGGAGGTGAGAAGCTTGGAGTTGACGGTTTCGAACATAGCAGCATGGTTTGACACATTTACGTCCAGGTCGCTTATTCGATTCTAATTAGAGAGCGTTTTCTGCTTCCTTCATTTACCCACAATGAGGCGGCATTTCAAAGCAGTATTGTTTTTGATAGACTGGAACAGCACGCAAAATTTGCTTCATAAGTTATTGGTGTTGAATAATGCAGTAAATGAAATGAACAGTCATGCTAGCGCGCTTTATAGAGTTACGGTAGTCCGAATATTCATTATTGTATTTTTGTGAGTGAAATTTTATTATGCTTCACAATCCAGTTAACATCTGATTCGCTATGAATCACAAAGTGATATGATTATTCGGCTTTGCCAATCAACTCACAATTTTGGTGCGGTAGGTTGCTTAGCTCCTAAAATCCTCTCGAGATAAGTGTCCTTGAAGGCAGTGGCTAAGGAAAATTGCAATTACAGGATTTCTATCCCTCCTTGGCCTTTTAGATGCGCTGTGTCCAGAGCTGCGCTCAAAAAAGTCGGAAAAGGCTTCATGGTGTTTTCCGGTCTTGGAGATTGTTGGCGGGGATGGGCGAGATCGCCAACTGAGTCGCGATTTGCTGCTTGAGCCGATCGGCCATTTGCCGCCAAAATGGGTGGAGTTACAATATCCTGCAGCCAGTCGCTGTTTTTGTCTCGAGTACCTCGCCCAGCCTCCTCAGCAATCTCCAAGGCGGAAAATGCCGAGAAAGCACTTTTTGACTTTTCAAGCAAAGTCTCGGACTCAGCGGATCCTGAAGGCCATGTAGGTGCGAGAAGCTTGGACTCGCCAATCTCCCAAACCATTGCCTTTAAAGGCAGCGTTTCCAGACTGGCGGGATGAGGGGTACCTGGTAATACCCTCGATACAAAGAGCCATGTACTCTGGTAACCTTCACTTTGAGCCACATAAAAGGACACAACCTTCACCTGGGAGAAAACAGGAGTTATCCGGGGCGAAGCCCCTGATGTTATAATTCTGACTATATCGAAACGAATGTGAATGAAACAAATGTAGGGAAAAATGTTTTTGGATTGTCTTAACAAAACCGAGAATTTGCGTTTTTAAGCTTTTTTTACGTTAAAAAGAAGGTTTCTGAAAGTTTGGCCAGAATTCAAGACAACATTTCTCAGTCAATTTCTTATTTGACTAAAATTGAGTTTCAGAAGTTTGGCAAAGCTGTTTGAGTTAAATAAAAACGAGAAACTCCGCTTAAATCTTGCGAAGAGAGTCGCGCACGAGAATGGTGGTTTATCTCGTTAATGAGTGATTTTCAACGATTGGGACATTGTCAGTTCTCCTTGTCGTGTCATGACGAGTAGAATGATATATTAGGTGGGTGCAAAAGTTCGTTCGCCAGTTTTTCAAAAAATCGTAACTTCCTTCGGACTCAACGATTCTCCTTGATTTTATAATCTTCTAGAAGAGAAAACCTTTCTCTTTACAAAAGTGTCTTTGCTATGAATTGGCATGAGAAAATTCGAAAGTTAAAAGCAACTGAAGGATATTAGTCAAGATTGACATTTTTCAAGCAGGGTCACGAAAAATTCTGGAAGTATTTTTGTTTGATAGAGAAAATTATGCTCTTCACTATAGTGCTTTTCCCATGAATCAAAACGAAAAAGATCTAGAGTTAGAAGAAAATAAAGAGAATTACTTCAGTTTTGCAATTTTTGAGCATGCTCAAAAAAGCCTAAAAACGTCACAGAATAAGCGAAAAAGTCATAAACATGGATTTTGTGACCTTTCCTTTTTAGCTGAGCGAAAATCGTGCCAATCGGGAGTAATTTTAATTTTCGTGAAAAACGCAGACCCGAAAATCCGAATAAATTACGAAAATCAAAATTGCTCCCGATTGGCACGATTTTCGCTCAGATAGAAAGGAAAGGTCACAAACCCATGTTTGTGACTTTTTCGCCTTTTCCGTGACGTTTTTAGCCTTTTTTGAGCATGCTCAAGAATTGCAAAACTGAAGTAATTCTCTTCATTTTCTTCTAACTCTCGATCTTTTTCGTTTTGATTCATGGGAAAAGCACTATAGTGAAGAGCATAATTTTCTCTATCAAACAAAAATACTTCCAGAATTTTTCGTGACCCTGCTTCAAAAATGTCAATCTTGACTAATTTCCTTCAGTTGCTTTTAACTTTCGAATTTTCTCATGCCAATTCATAGCAAAGACACTTTTGTAAAGAGAAAGGTTTTCTCTTCTAAAAGATTATAAAATCAAGGAGAATCCTTGAGTCTGAAGGAAGTTACGATTTTTTGAAAAACTGGCGAACGAACTTTTGCACCCACCTAATATTAGGTTGTCCCAAAAGTTCTTGCGCCGGATTTTCAGAAAATCATAACTTCCTTGCCACTTAATGGATTTTCCTGATTTTATTTTTATGTGAAAGAGGAAACCTTTTTCTTTACAGTGGTACCTTTGCCATGAATTAGCATTGGTAAGTTCGAGAGTTAGAAGCAATTGAAAGAAATTAGTCAAGATCGACATTTTTCAAGCTGGATCACGAAAAATTCTGCAAGTATTTTTATTTGATAGAGAAAATTTTGCACATTACAGTGGTGCCGTTTTCATGAATTAAAGCGAAGTAGATCGAGAGTTAGAAGCAAATAAAGAGAATTTCTTCAGTTTTGCAATTTTTGATCATGCTCAAAAAAGTTTGAAAACGTCACAGAAAAGGCGAAAAAGTCATAAACATGGGTTTTGTGACCTTCCTTTTGTAGCTGAGCAAAAATCGTGCCAATCGGGAGCAATTTTGATTTTCGTAAAAAAAAGCAGGCTCGAAAATCCGAATAAATCACGAAAATCAAAATTGCTCCCGATTGGCACGATTTTTGCTCAGCTACAAAGGGAAGGTCACAAAACCCATGTTTATGACTTTTTCGCCTTTTCTGTGACGTTTTCAAACTTTTTTGAGCATGATCAAAAATTGCAAAACTGAAGAAATTCTCTTTATTTGCTTCTAACTCTCGATCTACTTCGCTTTAATTCATGAAAACGGCACCACTGTAATGTGCAAAATTTTCTCTATCAAATAAAAATACTTTCAGAATTTTTCGTGATCCAGCTTGAAAAATGCCGATCTTGACTGATTTTATTCAATTGCTTCTAGCTTTGGAACTTTCTGACTCCGCTTCACAACAAAGATACTATGGTAAAGAGAAAGGTTTCCTCTTTCAAATGAAATTAAAATCAAGAAAATCCATTAAGTGGCAAGGAAGTTATGATTTTTTGAAAATCCGGCGCAAGAACTTTTGGGACAACCTAATATGTGGCTGCAAGGTTTCATTGAGACCTCCGGAGATCTACGACCATAGCCAAATGCCCCGTCGGCTTTGGTCTGTCTTCGCTGCTCTCCTGCGTCTCCGCGCGCTGCGCGCTACCTCGCTACCCCAAACGCGTAGCGCGGGGCATTTGGTTTTGGTACCCTTTTCTTCGCTGTTTCGAAATCAGTTTTAGCAAGCTATATATCATTTTGAAGCTCTTGATCTCTACTTTCACGCTGACAACGTCCCAAAATCACATTTAAGACTTAATCGAGAGTCTGGCAGAAACCTTGTTTTCGAAGAGCTCTAGTTTTTCCTCTAGTTTAAGTCTTTTTCACGCGGTTTTTTCGTGCATTCTACAGCTCTTGCTTCTTTTCATAATGTAGACAACACCCGGCCCTTATCTCTTCGATTATGGAGGAATTTTTGGTGAAAAATCGTAGAAAGTGCGTTTTTTCTTTACCTTCTTCTGTTTCAGTGCTTTCGCAGCGATTTTTTCCCAACTTGGGCGATTGTTGCTCAGAACAATAAGCGCAACAATCCAGACAACATTCCAAGATACAGGAACTTCAGTGCGGGGGTAAAAATTCAATGGACGCATTAAAATCAGTTTTGACTTTGACGCGCATTTCGAATTAGTAAAAAAGAAATTTCGCGTTTTCACTAGTTTCTTTCTTGTTTGACGTCTTCTTGATGACAACTATATCCGAAAAATAGTTTTGTTTGCAACAATCACAAAAGAAATTACCCTAATTTCAAGCGTATAAGGCGCGGGGGGTTCTTTTCCAAAATCGACCAGCCAAAGGACTTTACAACCAAAGGATCCTATAACTGCTGTATAATTGCTTGAGAGAATCGGCAATGTAATTTCTTTCCCGATTACAGTGAAGCGGCTGAGCGGCTCGCTTGAAAATTCGAAAAAGTGCGCCTTATACGCGTGAAATTAGGGTAGCTTTTCTAGTTTTTCCCCGTGTTGCTGAAGCGAAAACCTGCCCTTCGAAAACCACCAAATAAAAGACTTCATACTCATCGCAGCGTTTTTGTTCGGTTTTTAGCAGTTTTTTTGCTTTTAACATCTGTTTTGCGTGTTTTTTCCTCCTCTGGTCTCCTATAAGGAACCTTCACTTTTTATGAGGGGCAGATGTTCAAACAACCTTCACTTTTGACGCCCTGTCTCTAGATTATCGAAGGTATGGGAATGAATGAATCCCGAATAAAATCAGAAAATCAAAAATATTGAATGAATGACTATCGATTATATTCGAGCACTGATTGTGAGATCTTTCGAATGAATATTTGAATGATTTATCGAATAATTAGAGCACCCATATCTAAAACTTGCTGACATACTCGGCTAAAGCCGATCCTTTGTATTCAGCACCCTCATATCCCCTATACCAAATCCAAGCTCAAGTAAGCTATCTTACAAATCTTTGTTCCACGAGATGTGGCAAATTTTCCAAAAATCGGTGAAATCGACAAAATATTAGGTCGTTCCGAAAGCAATGTCACTTTTTTCAAACGTATGCCACATCTCGTGGAACAAAGATTTGTAAGATATTCTGGTAGCATTTG